TAGACCAATGGAACAGAATTGAGAATCCAGACATAAATTCATCCACCTATGAGCAGCTGATATTTGACAAAACGCCCAAAGTCCGTTAAAGGGGGAAAAGACAGTCTCTTTAACGAACGGTGCTGGCATAACTGGATATCCATCAGCAAAAAAATGAAACAAGACCCATACCTCACACCATGCACAAAAACTAACTCAAAATGGATCAAAGGCCTAAATGTAAAATCGAAAACGGTAAAGATCATGGAAGAAAAAATAGGGACAACGCTAGGAGCCCTAATACATGGCATAAACAGAATACAAAACATTGCTAACAATTCACAAGCACCTGAAGAGAGACTAGCTAAATGCGAGCTCCTAAAAATCAAACACTTACGCTCATCAAGACTTCATCAAAAGAGTCAAAAGACAACTTGCAGTCTGGAAAAAAATATTTGGCTATGACAAATCTGATCAGCGTCTAATCTCTAAAAGCTACAAGATACTGCAAAACCTCAACAATGAAAAGACAAATAACCCAATTAAAAAACGGGCAGAAGATATGAACAGACACTTTGCCAAAGAAGACATTCAGGTGGCTAACAGACACATGAATAAATGCTCACAATTGTTAGTCATTAGAGAAATGCAAATCAAAACTACAATGAGATACCATCTCACCCCAACAAGGCTACCATTAATCCAAAAATCACAAAATAATAAATGTTGGAGAGGTTGTGGAGAGACTGGAACACTTATACACTGTTGGTGGGAATGTAAAATGGTACAAACACTTGAGAAATCAATTTGGTGCTTCCTCAAAAAGCTAGAAATAGAAGTACCATACGATCCAGCAATCCCGCTCCTTGGAACGTATCCTAGAGAAATAAGAGCCATCACACAAATAGACAGCAAAAAGATAGAAACAACCTAGGTGCCCATTAATGGATGAATGGATAAACAAATTATGGTATATTCACACAATGGAATACTGCGCAACGATAAAGAACAACCATGAATCAGTGAAACATAACATGGAGGAATATGGAAGGCATATGCTGAGTGAATTTAGTCAGTCACAAAAGGAAAATATTGTATAAGACCACTATTATAAGAACTCAAGAAAAGGTTTAAACATAGAAGAAAACATCCTTTGATGGTTACGAGGTGGGGAGGAAGGGAGAGGGTTATTCACTAACTAGATAATACACAAGAATTATCTTAGGTGAAGGGAAGGACAACAGACACTACAGGGAAAGTCAGCACAACTGGACTAAACCAAAGCTAAGAGGTATCCTGAACACAACCAAACACTTTGAGGGACAGAGTAGCAGGGGCAGGGGTCTGGGGACCATGCTTTCAGGGGACATCTAGGTCCAGTGGCATAACAAAGTTTATTAAGAAAATGTTCTGCATCCTACTTTGGTGAGTGGTGTGCGGGGTCTTAAAAGCTAGTGAGCGGCCATCTAAGATGCATCAATTGGTCCCAACCCCCCGAAGTAAAGGAGAATGAAGAACACCAAAGTTACAAGGAAAGTATTAGCTCAAGAGACAGAAAGGGCCACCTAAACCAGAGACTGCATCAGCCTGAGACCAGAAGAACCACATGGTGCCCGGCTACCATCAATGACCGGCCTGACAGGGAACACAACAGACAGTCCTTGATGAAGCCAGAGAAAGGTGGGGTGCAGAACTCAAATTCGAGTAATAAGACCAGACTTAATTGCCTGACTGAGACTGGAGGAACCCCAGAAGGCATGGCCTCGGACTTCCTATCAACCCAGAACTAAATCCGTTCCCGAGGCCAACTCTTCAGACAAAGATTAGACTGGACTATGGGACATAAAATGATACTCGTGAAGCATGTGCTTCTTAGCTCAAGTAGATACATGAGACTAAATGGGCAGCTCCTGTCTGGAGTTGAGATGAGAAGGCAGAGAGGGTCAAGAGCTGGTTGAATGGACCCGTGAAATCAGGGGTGGAAAGGAGGAGTGTGTTGTCACAGTATAGGGAGAGCAATTAGGGTCACATAACAACGTATGCATAAATTTTTATATAAGAGACTAACCTGAAACGTAAACTTTCACTTAAAGTACAACAATGAAATAAAAAAGAAAATACTCTCATGTGTAAGAAAACAAATTACTGTTATAATCTCGCTCAAAAAGTTCACTGCCATGCTAAAACGACTCCAGACAGCTTATGAGGTATGAATCACAAGTGGGGTCCTGTGAAGGGCCCTGAAGTAACCTGCACAGAAGCGGGTGCCTCACTGACCACTGCACCAGACAGGCAGTGGAAGCTATCAGGAAGCATTCCTTGACAAAGGACCATCTATATTTTTATTGCATTATTTTCCTCAATTTGTTAATTTGTTATTTGAAATAAAATAAGTGAATAAATAGATGCTTCTTCTGGTGCCATTATATTAAAGGGTGCTGCTGACACCCTCTGCCTGGGGCATAAAAATATCCATGTCTGGCCCTGCTCACAATTTCTCACTACACACAAGTTACCATGACAATAGCTCCCAAAGTCCTACCGGTGCTCACTTCCAAGCCAAATTCTTTTTTTGGCTGTTGGTTTCTACAACCCGTATCTGGTCATATGATTTTTCTGTTTAAAATACTTTGGTGATTTCCCCGCCATCTTCAATAAAAAATAAAAACTTCTCATAAACATACGTAAGGCTTGTTGCTTATCTGTCCCTCCGGCTTCATGCTCCATCATCAACCCCACAAACATTCCAAGCTCCAGGTATATCTAAGCACCTGCAGTTCCTTGAGTATGTTTGCTTTCTCACCACCATGCTTACATGCTTTTTCTGCTGGCCAGAATATCTTCCCTAACTCAATCCCTGGTCCCCTAGTCATCCTTCAACACTCAGCTAATATATCACCTCCCCCAGGAAACATCTCCAATCTCCAGGTCTGAACAAGTATCCCTCTCCTGTGTCCATTTTACCTCCACACAACTCTACCAATACCCCAGTCACACCGCTTTGGAATTATCTGCTTACTGGTCTCTGAACTCCCAGAAGGTAGGAATTAAGTGTTTGAACTTCATCTCCCTGCTCATTACTTAATAATAATAAATAGACAGAGGCAGTGGTGGTTCAGTGGTAGAATTCTTGCCTTCCATGTGGGAGACAGGGTTCGATTCTCAGCCAATGTACCTCATGTACAGCCACCACCCATCTGTCAGTGGAGGCTTGTTTGTTGCTATGATGCTGAACAAGTTTCAGCAGAGCTTCCAGACAAAGATAGACTAGAAAGAAAGGCCTGGAAATCTACTTCTGAAAATCAGCTAATGAAAACCCTATGCATCACAATGGTCTGATCCACAACTGATCCTGGGTATGGTACAGGACCAGGCAGCATTTCATTCCCTTGTGCATGGGATTGGCTTGAGTCAGGGGCCGACTGGACAGCAGCTAACAACAATAATAAATGGACACGGTATAAAATAGGGGGATACCACAGAATAAAATATAAGGCTAGAAATTTGAAAATAGACTAATAAAGTCCTGAGTTAAATGAAGAAAGTTAACCCAATCGCCCTAAAAACCACTTTATTAGACCTCCTATTAAAGAACTTAATGAGCTAGCCAATATAAAACTATATCCTAAGTAATCATTAAAATGAGGAGCCCTGGTGGTGCAGTGGTTAAGCGCTCAGCTGCTAACCCAAAGGTCAGTGGTTCGAACCCACCAGCTGCTCTGTGGGAGAAAGATGTGGCAGTCTGCTCCCATAAAGATTACAATCTTAGAAATCCTACGGGGCACTTCTACTCTGTCCTACAGGGTTGCTACGAGTCAAAATTGACTTGACCGCAGTGGGTTTTTTTAATCATTAAGGTATCAAATACTCAGCAGAAGCAAAGATTTTTTTAAAATTAAAGACTTAATATGTTATTTTATTTCTATAGCCTTGTTTTTCATACCTTTCCCCCTAATTCTACTTCTCAGTTCCTTTCTTCACTTCTTTACATTCATTTTCCTTCCAATTAAATTTTGCATTCTTTTATTTTAGTTTCAAATTTCATCTCTCGCCCAGTCCCTTTCATGTCTACTGTGTCTTCTATTCTTTCAATCTAACAGAAAAATATAAATACTGTCTTTGTCATTTCTGTTACTAATTTTGTCAAAAACAAAGGCATCATAAAAAGCAGTAAATGTAACGATATTACCAGTCATATCAACAGACAAAACCATCTGCATCCATCGAGTTGGGTGATTTCATAATACTAAGCAGCTAATATGAACAATATGCATACTAAGGGGATTCTGATAGGCATCAGCAAGTCCTTGGGGTTGTTGGAACAGTACAGTCAGGGGTCACGGAGAGGAACAGTCAACTTGCTGGCGGTGAGGGCAGTCACAGCCCAGCCTAACAGCATCCCCCGCCTCGCCCTGACCTTCAAGAGGAAGCAGAAACAGGCAACGGAATATCCAGGCAGCTGTCAGCTATCTGGACTAGACCAGCAGGTTACCTGATCTGACAGTGAGCAGCAATGGTCAAGTAGCAGCCCGGTGGTAGTCTGTGGGCATCCTGGCCCAGGTGCCACCTGAAGGATGCAAAATAAAGACTGCTCTCCCAGGACACTTCTGAATTTTATTTTTACTATAGAATAGGTTCTGAGGGAGGCAGATAAGGACTTGGAGATGCATGAATAAGTACTTAAACTAGACAGGAAATGAGAAGGAATTTTCTAAAGGATAGCAAGTCCTGGAAAGAAATAGTGTACATTCTTTTAATTACCTGAAAGTAACCTTTTCAAAACCACTCAACATGAGGTCTTGTAGGCATGGGAAAATTCATCCTAAGGGCCAATCAAGCAAAAAAAAAAAAAACTCTTCAATAACCTTACATCCAGCACTATAATGTAACAATGAAGGATGTGTTTGAAGAAGCTTCTAAAATGTCGTAGAACTGGACTGTAAAAGCAGCACCTTTAAATACGCAAGTTAATTCAAAGCAGAGCAGGGCAAAATTCACTCTCTTACCCGTATCCAGGAGTTAAGTTTTGATTCTCCAGAATTCAGTGGTTCTTTCTTAATCAGACAACATAAGCACCATATTAGAATTTTTTGGCTTTCATCTGAAAAAATAAAAAAGAAAATGAGTAGATTTTTATCGAATAGAAAGAAGAAAAGATAGTATAAAAAATTTTTAAACATTAGGAATATCTCAACCTACTAAATTCACAGAATAAACATCCAGGACCATGCGTGAAGCTTAACTTTGTGTGGTTTTTTCTTCTTGTGGGTTCGGGATCACTTATGCTTAGCTCTTGTGTGGTTAACTTCCTTTCTGTTAACAGCAGCAATTTTTAAAGCCAAAAGAGAATGATTGAAAGAACTGAAACAACTGTGCTTTTCTCGAGACTAGTTTATTTTACATTTCAAACCCTTAGTAATTTAACCTTCTTAAGGCAACCTAACTGCTACAGTAATCAATATTTCTGATTTAATCTTTTAACTTTCTAATTTGCCACAATACTTGTTAAAACAAATTTAACCTGTTACATGCTCCTAATTCTTTAAAATTTAAAACACTGCCAAATATAAGATGAAAACTCTGAACTTTACAATCTTAGATTTGGAGGAAACATCTACTTGGTGAGCCAGACTCTTAATTTTTTTTTTTCCTCTTGTGGCGATTGACTCCATTCCAGCTGGACATTGTATAACAAGAGTGAGAAGCAAAAATGAGACCTAAAAACTGAAGTGTCGGTACCTAAACTAGAGGAAAGCAACTCTGGACTTTGCAAAAAGGCTGCAGAGGTGAGGCAGAGGAAACCAAGACTCTGAATGCCCTGCAGAGTCACCAGAGACTCTGTACCTTCTTCTCTTCTGCAATCTAATAAACACAGCATTTCTAAAGGCTCCACTAACAAAGATATCAGAAAAATACACACTACTGTAAGCTACCTCTGTATTTTCATCCACAAATCAAAGGATGCTAACAGTCATTTAAGCCCATTTTCTCCCATAAATAGCCATAAGTTTGTGCTCCCCCAATAATTAACATCTCTGAACAAACACTCTTTGAGTGGCACAAAGTGTTAAGCCCTAGACTACTAACCAAAAAATTAGAGATTCGAGTCCACCCAGAGGCATTTCAGAAGAAAGCCCTGGCGATCTGCTTCCGAAGGATCACAGCCATTGAAAGCACAGTTCTACTCTGACACACACAGGGTCGCCATTAGTCGGAATCGATTCCACAGTAACTGGTATAACTGGTATACTGAACAAAATGGCTTTATCAGGGGTTATTCTGAGGGACATTCATTTTTCCCTCTAGTTGTTATGAGCTCAAATACATCACTGGCTTGGCTGAGATCAGTTTCTTTCAAGAGTCTTATAATTCAACCTCTGAAGATCCTGGGGTTCTTCAAGTTTGATCAAAGCACAGTTTACAACGAGACTGCTGTTCTGTCTATGTGTAAATTCTAACTGTTTTCAGGTAGCAAGTGTGACAGATGCATTCAATGGTATGCTTATGCAAGCAACTACCAGTGTTAAAAAGAGTGCAACTTGACGGGGAGCATTTCCAAAAACCAGACACTCATCACCAAAAGAAAAGAAGAAGGGAAGGAAAGAAACATTAGTTCATCGAGCTTAAATTTAAAAGAATCCAGAAGATAAGAGTTTTCCCTAGGTGTTGAATCATTCTTCACTTACTTCAACAAGTATATTACTTCCAATTTTTCTCTTAAAAAAGAGAAAGAGAGAAACTCTCCCCCAGCCTTTCAGAGTTGCTGTTCTTTGCCCAGAGTCACTGCACTGAAATGCACCGCTAATGAGCTTACAACTGACTTCGCTTTGGTGAGTTACAGATGCAGGCTGTCATTGTTATTCATGAGTACCACCAGCACTCTCCACAGGGGACAGCATCTGTCAGACTCCTCCCTAGAGGCCTTGAGACTGGGCTGGAGCACTCCGCAGAGCAGGTTAAGTGAGATAGAAAACTGTATGGGATTAATTGCAGGACAGTTCCAGACAGCATATCTCAGTGCAAATTCAGATTCTAAAAATGAGTGGGAAGGAAAGAAATATATGAACATATACTTGCCACCCAATACTTTTCTTTTTTGATACCTGGATCTGAAATTCCAACTAGAATCTAAACTAATTCTTTAAACTTTAAAGGTGTGAAAGCAGCATTTTTTTTTCCAACAATAAATATTTATTGTTTTAAGCTGCTAAGTTTTGGGTCAATTTTTACGCCTACATAACAAATGAATGTCCGTCCGTGGTGCAAACAGTTAAGCACTAGGCAACTAATCAAAAAGTTGGTGGTTCGAATCTACCAGAGATGTCCCGGAAGAAAGGCCTGACGATCTACTTCCAAAAGATCACCGCCATTGAAAACCCTACGGAGCACAGTTCAACTGTAACATACGTAGGGTCACCATGAGTTGGAATCTACTGGACAATAACTGTTTTTATTACATAACAAATACAGTGAGAAAGAGTGGTTACAGCTATTATGCTTAATCATGAGGGCAGAGCTAGATCCAAGGGGCCAGGATTCCAAGGAAGTAAAGGCAGCATTTTATTCAAATAACCAAAAACCAAACCCATTGCTGTTGAGTTGATTCCGACTCATAGTGACCTCATGAGGACAGAGTAGAACTGTCCCATAGGGATTCCAAGGAGCGGCTGTTGGATTTGAACTGCCAACCTTTTGGTTAACAGCCTGAGCTCTTAACCACTGTGCCACCAGGGGTCCATTCAAAGAACACCACTGGATAAAAAAGGTATTCTCTCCCTTTCATTATTATCTAACTCTTTTTCTCTTTCCTTTGTGGTGTCTTTTCATTTCAAATCCTTCTTCCTTCCTTATTGTGCTTATTTCTGATCCTGTTCTCAATACTGCGGAAGATTACTTCTTTCCTTGATGGCAACTGTTTATTTTTACTGTATTTAAAAAGTAATTTGGTATTATAAAACTGCAAGAAAAGGTTCCTCCCAGGAAGAAAGTGCCCAACTGGTAAAACAAGAGTGGCGACATAGGCAAGATTTGATTACTCATGGAATTTTGAACCCCTCAGTTGCCTCTAACGAGGTCTGGTGGAGAAGTGGTGAAGTTCTCCACTGCTAACTGAAATGTCAGCTGTTCGAACCAATCAGCCGCTCTGCGGGAGATGTGGCAGTCTGTTTCTGTAAAGATTTATAGCCTTGGAAACTCTATGCAGCAGTTCTACTCTGTCCTATATGGTCTCTATGGGTCAGAATCAACTCGATGGCAATGGGTTTGCTTTTTTGTGTTAGCTGCCTGTACTCTGAAAATGAGCTCGGAACCAAGTTGGTATTGTTGGGTGCCGTCAAGTCGGTTTCAACCCACAGTGATTGAATGTACAACAGAAGGAAACACTGCCTGGTTCTGCACCATCCTAACAATCGTTGTTATGCTGCAGCCCATTGTTGCAGCCACTGTGTCTATCCATCTCGCTGAGGGTCTTCCTCTTTTTGCCTCAACCTTCACTTTACTAAGCATGATGTCCTTCACCAGGGACTGATTCCTCCTGATAATATGTCCAAAGTATGTGACTACGTAGTCTCACCACCCTTGCTTCTAAGAAGCTGTCATGGATTGAATTGTGTCCCCCCAAAAATGTGTGTAGCAACTTGGCTAGGTCATGATTCCCAGTATTGTATGATTGTGTTATCTGATGCGATGTCCTTATGTGTTGTAAACTCTACCACTATGATGAGATTATATGTGATCTCCTCATGTGTTGTAAATTCTATCACCGTGATGAGGTTATACTGATGAGGTTGACAAGATCAGTGTCTTAATGAAATCTCTTTTGAGATATAAAAGAGAGAAGCGAGCAGAGAGACACATGGGAACCTCATACCACCAAGAAAGCAGTGCTGGGAGCAGAGTGTGTCCTTTGGACCTGAGGTTCCTACGCAGAGAAGCTCCCAGACCAAAGGAAGACTGATGACATGGACTTTCCTCCAGAGCTGATGAAGAAAGCATTCCCCTGGAGCTGATGCCCTGAATTTGGATTTGTAGCCTACTGGACTGTGAGAGAATAAACTTCTCTTTGCTAAATCTATCCACTTGTGGTATTCCTGTTAGAGCAGCACTAGATGACTGAGACAGGAGCATTCTGGTGATACTTCATCCAGGACAGATTTATTCGTTCTTTTGGCAGTTCATGGTATATTCAATATTCTTCGCCAACACCACAATTCAAAGGAGTCAATTCTTCCTCAGTCCTCCTTATTCATTGTCCAGCTTTTGAATGCATGAGACGATTGAAAATACCATGGCTTGGGTCAGGCGCATCTTAGTCCTCAAGGTGACATCTTTGTTTTTTAACACTTTAAAGAGGTCTTTTGCAGCAGATTTGCCCAATGCAATAGGTCATTTGATTTCCTGACTGCTGCTCCCATGGGTGCTGATTGTGGATCCAAGTAAAATGAAATCCTTGACAACTTCAATCTTTTCTCCATTTATCATGATGTTGCTTATTGATCCAGTTGTGAGAATTTTTATTTTATGTTAAGGTATAATTCATACTGAAGCCTGTGGATTTGATCTGCACCAGTAAGTGCTTCAAATCCTCTTCACTTTCAACAAGCAAGGTTGTATCATCAGCATAACGCAGGTTATTGATGAGTCTTCCTCCAATCCTGGTGCATCGTTCTTCTTCATATAGTCCAACTTCTTGGATTATTTGCTCAGGATATAGACTGAATCAGTATGGTGAAAGGACACAACTCTGAAACACACCTTTCCTGACTTTAAACCATGCAGTATGCCCTTGTTCTGTTCATACGACTGCCTCTTGATCAAGGTACAGATTCTTCATGAGCACAAGAAAGTGTTTTGGAATTCCCATTCTTTGCAATGTTATACATAATTTGCTATGATTCACACAGTTGAATGCCTTTGCATAGTCAATAAAACACAAGAAAACATCTTTCTGGTATACTCTGCTTTTGGCCAAGATCCACCTGACATGAGCAATAATATCCCTGCTTCCACGTCCTCTTCTGAATCTGGCTTGATTTCTGGCACTTCCCCGTTGATGCACTGCTGCAACTGCCTTTTAATTATCTTCAGCAAAATTTTACTTGGGAGTGATATTAATGATACTGTTCGATAATTTCCACATTCAGTTGGATCACCTTTCTTTGGAATAGGCATAAATACAGATCTCTTCCAGTAGGCTGGCCAGGTAGCTGTCTTCCAAATTTCTTGGCATAGATGAGTGAGCACTTCCAGTGCTACAGCCATTTGTTGAAACATCTCAGTTGGTATTCTGTCAATTCCTGGAACCTTGTTTTTCG